TGCTCCGATCAAAAATTTCGCCAAAGTTACAAAATAACTGTTGTTACTTCTTAGAGGAAAAAAAAAATTGTTAAAATTAAAGGAATGTTTCATTATTGTTTTTCTTTCATGAAAAAATAAATAAATAAATAATACTTGTATCGCCTAAGGCAGTGTTTCCCAAAGTGTGGCACGCGTACCCCCAGGGGTACGGGAACAGTTTAACGGGGGTACGCGTTCTTATGCGAAATATCTTACAATAAACGAAAATTTCAAAATTTTTTATTTAGAAACAAAGCTAACCATGAAAATTTACAATTACGTACTATTCTATTGGCTATTTCTTTGCAAATTTTACAGTTAATAATTAGTAGTGTCAACAGCCAGTTGTGATTATTAACTTTTGTGGAAATTTTTATAGTAAAAAATACATTCATTTTTCTTCAGAGGTACAAAGCGTTACGAAAAATTTAGAAAGGGTTCACAAAAGTCATAAGTTTGGGAAACACTGGTCTAATGTATCTAACTTTTTTATCAATCTCTTTATCGTGGGCGCCATATAATTGGATCAATGCCGCCTTAACGAGACAAGCAAGATACATAGAACAGAGAAGTAAATTTCACCCATGCCCAAAGTTCGATTCGAACCTTTGATTTTACTGGTTTCACCATACAGAAAAATTTTCACTTTATTTTCGATAGTCTGGTCTTCATTCTAATTTCGTCATTCTATTAACAATCTACCGCAACTCACCATGATGAGGTTTTGAGATGAGGAAACATTTTCGTCATACATTTGAGCGTTCATGTTTTGTCACAAATCATGCGGTTTCGTGTCAAAATGATTCTTAAAACTAACCAAATGTAACTCATGGATTGCTGAATTGTCAAAAGTGAGAATTTTATTTCTGACAGAGGACAAAGTATTCTTACTACTTCTAAACGGTGATCTAAATTCTCTTTGTTTATCATCAAATGAGTCTCAAAACTCACAATTAAAAAAGCTAATTAAGAGTAAAGCAGCGTTGCCACGTTATTTAAGAAAAGATCTCCCTTGGCAAAAAAGCCTATTTATGAATTCATCGAATTCATCGAATATTCATTATAAATTCATCGAAAACGAGTTCAAAAGCACCACTAGATGAGAAATGGCAATCAGTAGCTTATATCACTTATGAACAACATAAGACATTTAAGTATTAATAATATTGACATTTCTCAATTTAAACTCATACAATACAGAAAAAAGCAACGGTTTTCACATCGCTATTTAAAGAATCGTGATAAAATCAATTTAAATTTATAATGCGGAAATCAGAACTGATTCCGAACTTACACTGCTTTGGAATTTCTGCTACATTCTCAGAAAATAATACTTTCATTTTGGACATTTCAAAAGTTCTTGCGCTGTGTTTAATTATTTTTGACACAAAACCAAGCGATTTATTTTAATGGAACGCAAGATCTCAGGTTATTGACATCATCTTCTCTACTCATCCGTATGTAATTGGGATTGGGGGTAATTTTAGGAGTTGCTTATAGTTTTCATTTTATTTTAAAGTTAGTTAATCACAACGTGACTGGATGGTACAGGGGTTAGTGCTTGAGATTTTTAAGCAGACTTTCTGAGTCTTCTCAATGATTCTTTCTAATCAATAAGTGAGTTCTTATTCAGTTATACTCATGCACTGCAAGATGATAATCGTGACAAAATGAAATAAAAAAAACATGGATTGTGTCACTCGGTAAAAAGAAATAAATGAGAAGCATTATTACTCATTATAGAGATATTTAACACACGGAGAAAAAAAAATCAGGTAAAATTACCGCACTATATGGTAATGACATTTCTAGTAGAATAAACAATAATTCTGACTGTAAAAACCATAATATACGGTATTTAAGCCATTAATTTTCTAACTTTTCTTTTAATATGACAAAAATCTACCGGAAATTCTGGTTTTAAAAATTATAGTTCTTATTTCCATACATTTAGCAAAAAATACGAAATTCAAAAGTGAATTTTACCTGTTAAAAGGTTTTATGTCATGCTCTTAGGTATCATGTTATAATAGCCACATTTTCCACATTTACCAAATGTTATCACATATTTTAAAGAAATATTTATTGTTAATTTTGTCAAAATGTGTGCACATTAGCTGCTTAACATAAAAAGAGCATTTTTTTTAAATGGAGAAAATGTGAAAATCAAGAATCTTAGGCAATAAATAAAAATATCTCTCTTGATTATTTTTAGAACACAATAAAAATTCCGGATCAAATTACGGTAAAAAGTACCGGCTCTCAGGGTACCAATACATTTTGCCGTAAAGCCATAAATTTTAACGGAACAAGAATCTGATATCCCTAACTTTTGCAAAAATATTTACTATAAAATCATTGAACCATTGTAATTAAATGAATATTACTGTAAAAACTACAGTTTAAAATTTTATGGTAAATTCGATTTTACGAGCAAACAGTAGTTTGATCCAAAGACTTTTCACAGTTTACTTATTAAAAATGGAATTAAATGTTGCTAAATCTTCCAGAAAATTTATATAAATATTAAAATTTTCTAAACACGCTTTTCTAACAACGAACGTTAAATGTCTTAAGCTTAATTATATACAAGGAAGGATTTGAGATAATTCCTTATGTGACGTTAAATTATATTTTATCATTAGTTTACAAAAAAGAAAATCAAAGTCCTTTTAAATGTCTTTAGCATTAATCACTAAATACAAAGTTACTAGCGAATGTTTAATGTCATAAAATGTTTAATACTATATTTAATGACACGGCTATTTATTCTAAGCCGATAAAATTTAGTAAAATCTTTTAAAATTTAGCAGAATTTTGCGAAGTTTGTAAAATTCCATTAAAAATGTTTCTAAAATAAATAGGTATTAAAATTATTTTTTATTGTTTTGTAAACTAATAATAGTTAATTTTGATTTATTAAAATTAGAATCTTAAACTTACGTAATAGTAAATTAACTTTCACGTTTCATAAAACACTATAAAATATTATTTGCTTTGTCAGAAATGAATGACGATACCCATGTCTCAGACTTGATATATTATACTCAACTAAGTCTTATTATACTCAACTAATGCTTTGTAAACAGCGATATTTTAATTTCAAATCAATTGCTTGCTTAAATGTTTAAGATGATTTATGTTTTATAATATTTATTCACAATAGCTAAATAATTTTTTTTATTAAAATATAATTTTTTTTTGATTTTTTTTTGCTTTATTTTTTACAAATTTCAACATAAATAGTTTTTCATAATAATGTTCAAAGTATAGAATGGATATTGAAAATTCTCAAAAAATTCGTCATAGTTTATTTTATTTTATAACCCGTGATAAACAGTCAACCCGATTCTGAGTTTAAGACAATCAATGTTCAACTACAGAACCTAGCTATTTTGAACCCACTCAAGAAGACAATGGAACTGCTGGAGCTGTGGTGACTCGAGAGAAAAACCTCAAAAACCTCCCATAGTCAAGTTGACGGCAAAGGGATTCTAACCCATCATCCCTCTACCACTGATAATATTAAATGTTAGCATTGCGGTCCGTGTGAGCCGGAAGCAGAATTTGTATCAACCAGCCACCGCTGGGATTCGAATCTGGGTCACCTCATTGGAAGGCAAACAATCCTCATCAAAACTCTATTGTAAAAGCATAGATATCATTATTTTCTTATTTTGTTATGATTAATATGCTTGTACGCTAAAAGTAGCAAAAAATATGAGTAAAGTAATGGAGAAGTTAAACACAGATAAAAAGGAATTCATCATTGGAAATTGTTTTTTGTAATAAAGTGAAAGATAAGTGAAAATTAATAAAGGTTTGGTACTGTCAAAATTATATAGAACAAAAGTAATTTTACTAAAAAATTTAAAGGAATGCTAAAAAAAAACTAACTATCACAAAAATCATTACTAAAAGATGTCCATCCTATTCAATAACTAACTATTGAAAAAGTGATTAGTATCGAATTATCAATTCAGTATCAAAGAAATTGATTTTAAAACAAGTTATTTGTAATTTATTAGGGAAATTTTTAAGGAACTGACTAAAAAACTGGGCATAATTTAAGATTTAAAAGTTATCGAAACATTTAAAAGGAAACTAAAATGTTATTCAATAACTTGATATTAAATAAGAGAATAGTAACGAATTACCAATTTAATGGCGAAGTAATTGGTTTCAAAATTATTGTTAGTAATTTATTCGAAAAATGATTAGAGAATTGATTTTAAAAAAAACTGGACAAAATTCAAGATTAAAAAGTTATAGAAACATTTAAAAGGAAACTAAAATACATTCTAACCATAATATAAGTATAAAATATTTTGCTCTAATTAAGCGACTTACCATTCAAGGGAAGAATGGTATTAATTTACTAATCCAGTCACAAAATAAATGGTATTGAAGTAAGCCATAGAAAATTTAATCAAGAAATATTTGAAATTGATAAATGTATTCTTTGTAAATAATAATAATAATTTTTCATCGGAAAAGTTTAATAAACAAATAAAAATTATCATATGAAACCATTACATTATTATCTTATTATGTAATGCTCTATTATTATGAGATTGGTAAAGAATTTATCAATCCAGTACCAAACTACTTAGTGCTTAGTGTCAAGGTAAGTTATATGTAAGTTAACAGAGAAATAATTTTAGTAATAGACAAATTTAAACTTTTCAAATTAATAAATTTCTTATCTAATATGCTTTTAAAAGAGTTAAAACAGCCCATATCATTATTAAAAATGTCTATTATACCAATGATGTTCATGAATCATATCATTTTCCTCATGGCATGAGTACCAATGAGACATTGTTTCTAAATTACCTCTTAATAATTTTAAGCAAACTGAAGAACTAGGTGTAAAAATGAGTCAAATCGAAGTTAATAGACACAGACGTTAATAATAATTAATCAAAAAAAGAACATTAAAAAATTCATCTTATTCGGCATTATATAAAATTACATACCATTCAATAAGAGATCAATCTACGTACGTTTAAATTACATTTCTTAAGAACCATATTTAAACATTTAAAAGCTAACTGAACTCAATTTAAAGATAAATTACAGAAGAATGGTAAAAGACCTTGACAATAAGTCTCAGAAAATCAAATTAGATGCCGACTGTGCTCAATCGTTTCTGGGAACTAATTTAGTGCAGGTATACTAGACAGCAGTTATTCATTACTTTCGGTATCGTAGGTAAAGAAAAACAGCTCAGCTGGTATCCAACGCAACATTGTTAATGATCAATAATATATTTTCAGTGATGGGGAGGAAAAAAAAGCTTAGTTAGAATCGACCTGTGATATTCTGTAAACCTGAACTTATTTTGAAGGTTAAGGACAACACTATTGATTGGAGTTATTCTCTCTTTATAAATTGTTTGGCTAGACTTAAATTGAAGAAAGAGCTAGCCACAAAAATTTCAATACACAAATTATTTTGCAAAATAAGACAAATTTAAGTTTTAATTGTAGTTTTTTTAAAATAGTATTTGATTAAAAAATTTTCAGTGATTTATTTTATTCAGAAATCAGTTTGGTAAGAATAAATCAAGACAAAATAAAAAGAATAAGAATAATTTCCTTATTATTATTATTTCATCAAAAAAAATAATGATAAATATCCTGATGGAAAGACGATTATGTGACAAGAACATCAAAAATAATAAATACACTGTCATTTTACTAATCTTATTGAATAAAATCGTTAAAATTTGCACTTCATGGAATATTTTTTATTGAAAGTAATATTGATCTCCAACTGAACTATTTCTAGCAATTCAATATTTTCGCAATCCTGCAAAACTTCACTGTGTTAAGTTTTTCAATTATTTTCAGCATTTGTTTCGCTTGCTGATTCGGAAACATTTCTTATTCGTCATAAGCTCTATTTTTAAAGATTATTCACAGCTCTTTAAAATTCAGAAATATTTTAAGCAGTTACGCTGACATTCTGAATCGAGAATGATATATAATAATTTTAACATCATGATTGATCAAACCAAATGTTGTCAAAATTACTAAAATATTATTTATTTTCTTAAATGAAATTAAAAGTTTCGAAAATCTTTCTCTGCTAAGTCTATGGTCCAAATATTCGACACCAGATAGCGAATAAAAAATTGAAGCCTGCGTAAGCTATTGATAACATTAACGAGAAATAATTTTCAAAATAATAAATCAAAGCCTGAGAAAAAGTACTGTCAAAACTTCTTGAATATGGAAAAATTTATCTTGCTTCTAACTCGATGAAAACACCACAATATTTAAACTATAACTATGAAAAAATAAACTATGGTTTTGTAAAATGTGATAAAATTTTGCAAACGTGTTAAAATTTGGCAATTGCAGACTTAATAATCAATTCACATGCAACTATTTAAAATGCATGCTATGTCAAGATAATGAACATGTGTTCAATGCAGAACAGTGATCATTAGTACATTGAAAAAAAATTATAATCAAAACTACCAGAATAAATTAAAATCAACTGTGGTTCTGGTTTTATGGGAACACCAAAAAGAACTGTAATTTTTAACTAAGCGCTTTTGCAATGACTTTTGGTAAAATTAACAAATCTATGATTTTATTACTATGATGTGGTAAATGGGGTAAAATTTGGTAAATTTATTCAAAAAATTGGCAAATAAAGGAGTACTGGTATAATCTGAGACAACGCTAAAATACTCAATTTGATAATACCTTTTTCATTTAGTAAACACTTGTTTATTTTTCATCGGTTAGCTGTTTTTATTTCTATGTAAGCTATGAATTAACGCCTACATACCTTTGAAACTATACAAAAAAAAATGGTTTTTGTAAATGTACAAATGTCTAGACTAGTCTAAACTAAATCAGCAGCATAACTGTTACGCAGTAGTAGTAGTACTTTATTTGCGTCGCACTAGAGCTGTACAATCGGTCTAAGAAACATAACAGAGGTTGATCCGTAGACATGCCATCGCAATTTTGATCCTTTGCAGAGGAGATGGCTCTTTGCCTTGGTTGCCCGATGACCTAAGCGTGATGTCGAGCATTTTATGGTAGATCAGTTTAAAGAGGACGTATACCGCGCACCCTTGGTCCTTTTTCAATCTCCAAAGTGGTCTCTCACCGGCTCACTAACCACTGCTAGTGATACTTAACGTCGATCTTCTACTGGGAACCATATCCTCAGCTGTTACGCAACAGGGCTTTCCCAGCATCCAAAAATGGAAGTGTGGAGGTTAAGTACCTCTACGCTTCCATTTTTCATACGCAATCCCACCTCAACCTAAGAAGTATCTACTTATTTATGTTTATTTACTTATATTGATTTATTTAAATTTATTTATATTTACTTATTTATATTTAGTCATTTATTATTACACATGCAGACTTGGTATAATATGTGATAAAATTTTGCAAATGGGGTAAATTTCGATAAGGATATCTTTGAGCAAGGCGTGAAAACCATTTATTCATTTAAGTTTTCTTTATAGTTTCTTTTTTTTTTTTTTTTACTAAATAAGAGGAATAACAAATACAATTTTGAAAAGCATAATGTTCGGTAAACCGTTACCATATGAACGATAAAATTACCAAATGAATGAATAAATACCCGTATATTTTAGTTTTATAACCAGCATGATTCTTTTTACCAGAAATGTCATTACCAAACTGTACAGCCATTTTGCCAGAATTTTTTCACCATGTAACTGTTTCAACTAAGTGGCATTCTTTTAAGAAAATTTCATATTATCAGTAATGATAAAGAGGAAAAGAAAGAATAACACAAAATTTATAACTAGGCAAAACAAAGCACATTTCTAACATATAGAAGAAAAATGGTAAATTATGTAAAATAATTCAAGCCATATTTCTTTCAAATCATTTTTTACTGTATACATAAATTATTTTCATACATGCAATAATATCAATAAAACAAAGTACTCCAGCTTTTTTTTTAGATTTCAGCTTCAAACATAATTTTTTTTCTATGAATATTGTATCAAGGTTACATACATCTTTGAAATCGATTTCTAACCCTTGGCTTATACGGAAATGCATGTTCTACATCATCGTGAAAGGAGCGAGGAAAGATGATAAGAGTCTGACTTCGGTATTTCCATTGGCTCTTTTCTCTAATTGAACTTTCATGACTTCCGAACACACTTTTTTCTGAACATCAGCTTCAGGTTCATAAATTGTTCTTTGGAAAGTGTCTGCCTCTGAACCGCACAATGATTTTGCACTCTCAAACATGCATTCTTTAATTTTATCTATGTTTCTAAAAGGAAAAAAAAGAAGAAAAATGAGTAAGTGAAACAGTGCATGTTTTTTAAAAATTATATATTAATAATTTTTTTAAAATATTGAACTATTGAGCTACAGGATAAGTTCTTTCGATTTTATTAAAATAAAGTGGAAGGAACTAGTTTTTCTTCCCTTTGCATTATTTGTATACAAACTACTTATAATTTAAATTTAAGTTACATATTTTGCTTAACAGGATTTTTAGTATTGACCGAAAGGAATACATTATTTAAGAACATTTACGAATGAAGAAAATCAACAAGTATAAACTTGATTATAAACTATCACAAACTGTTATTAACTATTATCTATTATAAACTGTTATAAACTTTATTATAAACTATATTTAGGCGCAGAAAAAAATGAAATGTCTTCAAAATCTGACAAATTAATGTCAAAGAAGAGGTTAAGCAAAGCGTCAAATTATATAGTGGAGGAAACTGAGGCGAGTTAAACCGAAGAGCCATTACATTATAGCCACCCTGCTAATAACATGTAGGACCACCTTTAGCTCTCAAAACTGCTAGCACCCGCCATGGCATTGATTCCACAAGGTGTTGATATGTAGTCTGAGGTATCTGGTACCAAGCGCTCACCAACTGGTCCTGCAATTTCCTCACATTGCGAGGGGGTAGCATGGCAGTACGGATTTGGTTTTCCAAGTAGGACCACAAATGCTCTATTGGATTAAGGTCAGGTGAATTTGGGAGTCAAGACATGACTTGAAAGTCACTGGAATGTTCCTCGACGGTTCTACCCTGATGACATGGTGCATTTTCCTGTTGGTAAACACCATCCCCCGCAGGAAAAACTGTTGCCATGAATGGGTGAACCTCATCTGCAACTATGTTCAAGTAGCTTAATGTGCCCCATGAAAACATTGTTCCTGGGTGAAAAACCATGAAAACCTGGGCGAGTCCATTGTTATAGATGGAGAGTGGTCATAATGTAATGGCTCTGAGGTGTATATATAAAAATACGCAGAGGAAAAAAAGTATGGTCAGAACTACCAGAATGTGGTAAACTTTAACATTTTTCTGGTTTCATAGAAACACCATAAAACTCTTTAAAATTTACTGAAGCTCTTGGGTAATGAATGCCACGATGGTTAAGTGGTTAAGGCACTGAATTATTATTGAGAAAGACTTGTGTTTGATCTTTGTGGTGGCTTGTCTACGCAGCTTCAGATCAGTGGGCACCAGCGCGCCTCGCATGTAAAAGTAGTATGTGCGTTGACCATATTGCCATGAACATGTGAAGCTATAACATGTTTCACGAAATTGTGGAGCTATATAGCCTCTTTTATTTTGAAAGATCGATGTAAAGGTTTGGCAAAGTGAGTTATTATAAATTTGATTTTCAAAAAATATACCAGACTGAATGGATTCGACAAAAGTAAAAGGAAAGTGCACATTTATTTTAAGAAAACGAAGTATAAATAAATATTAATTTATCTAGACATTTTATTTCTGTTTTCACACGTTTTGCCTTATTTCGTAACAATTAACAAAATTAGTTTGCGAAAATATAGTTTTAATTATACAACAAAAGGTGTTTCAGTTAGCAACACGACTTTTTTCCCGCAGTTATTAACATAGTAATTAGTAACGTTCACAGTTATTAGCAATGTTATTATTTATTAATAATATTCGCAGCTATCTTTCAAGTTGTCATAATAGTAATAACAATGTTCTTAGTAGTCACTATCATAAACATCAATTATATTTATAGTATTAACATGGCTATTAACCATTTTTATGATTATCAACAAAGTCATTACGATGCTAACCGTAAACAACTATGAACAATACCAACATATTATTATAAGTATGTGTTTAATTTATAAAAATGTTCTAATATCTGTAAAATCATTGGGCGTAATTAAATTTTGTTTTTTAAAAAATATTACTTTTACAAAATTGAAGGAAAAGACTGAAATATAGACTGTTTTCAAATACTTTCTTTCAGACTCTAAAATAATATTTACTTTTAGAAAAAAAAACTTCGAAACTTCGAATTTTTCGTCAAAAAAAATTTTTTTTTCAAATAAAATACCTTGGTAAAAAATGGTTAGAAACGAAAACATTTCCTCAGTTTAATTATAAAAGATATATATTTTTTAACCTATTCCTGCCTTTTATTTTTTAAGCACATGTGTGCATTCGAAAAAAGAACTTTTTTTCGGGAATTTTCCTCTTCCATTGTAAAATCTTCTGTCTCAGAAATAAATATTTAAAAAATTCCAAGAGTAATTAGGATAACTATATTCATTTGCAAAAAACTTAACGCTGTTTTTATTTTTACTCAAATTATAGAAAGGTCTTCGCATTCTTTTCTAGTATTAAAAATGCAACCTTTCATTGATGTTTCTGAATGCAATCCTTATCGTAAAAAAAAATTTAATGATTTAACTTTTCAAAGCGAATATTGCTGCTTATGTTGCTTATATTGCATTTACACAGCATACTTTACTTTGTATTTTCACTTTTAATTGACCTTTTATATCTTCTGTAGTAGTCAGAAGTAGAGAGCTGCAATAATTAAAACTTCAAAGTTGCTATCTTTTTTTCGTAGTTTGTAGTGTAGTGTGTTACTTTTTTTCTAAAAAAAAGTAATATAGTGAATAGTACGGTACAAAAAATAGTAGTAAATAGTGATTCCCACAAACTATTTTAAATTTTAATTTAGGAGCGAAGCAAGATTGAAACGCTCCTAAATTTTACAAATATTATTGTGCGTGAAATTATCTTTGGAAAAAATTAATTATATAATTGTATGCAATTTGCTTAAAAAGTTCTCTATATATGACGAAATACTCAAAAACTAAAATAAACATCAAGGGGATCAAACTTAGAACCGTTCTCCTGACCAAACAATTGGCCTATACTTCCAAGATAACTTCTAAACTTTTTGTCAGATCATCTCGAAATCAGTCTCAGTCAATTTAGAGTAAAAATATGTACTGAAATACCTTTAGAGTAAAAAAATACGTTGAAAAAAAATGCCTCGCTTGCCTGTTTAGAAAGAACTTCCTCTCAAATAAGTCCCATTTAAACCCCTCAAACCATTAAAATCAACCCCCTTCAAAAAGGGGGTAACATTCAAAGAAGAGTTGGAGAGTTTTCAAACATCATTTATAATAGCACAACAATGTTTTTCTTCCAAACAATATTTTGGGATTTATTATTTCTCCAGAAAAAAACCTTATTTTTTTCTATAATTATTGCTCTAATTGCGAGATTTGAAAATTAAAAAAAAATATTACACAAATTAAAAACTATTTTTCTGTGAACATATTAAAGTTTATTCACTATTCAGGCTCTCAAACGTTCGCATGCTTCTTTAAAACTGACAAATTGAAAATTGATACATAATTTAATTTCGATTTCACTCTGTTTTACTCTGCAAATATAAAATCTTTGGTATTATTATTACTTCAAGGATAAAAAAAGGTACCTTTTCTATTATTTCCATGCAACTAGTTACCTAGTCAATATATTTCTGCTCACATTAACGAAAAATAAAATTTCGTAGGGGTACTTTTATGTCTAAAATAACTAAAATGTATGTTTAAAGCTTTCCCAAAATTGTTCATTTGTGAAATTCTTAGCCTAAAAATTTATGTATTTTATACATTTCTAAATTTCATAAAACAAATTTGTTTTTCAGAAATAGCGTTAAAATTATAACAATAGGATAGCTAAAAATAGCAATTATTTCTCTTACTTTTAGGAAGAAGAATTTAAGAAATTATTATTATTTAGTTGGAAGAGCATGCATTTATCACTTACACACATAATACACTTGCTGTCGTAATTGTGCCTCCTGACATTATTTAAAGACTAATACAAGTGTGCTATGTTCTAGGAATTAATTGTTTTTTATCCTTTTTTAGTCAATGAAACCCTTTAAATTCGAGCATATTACTTTTCAAGCATATTACTCACAAACATCCTATTCTTTGAACTTCTACAATTTCATCAGGGGTTAGATCTCCTTTCTTCTCCATTATTTCTGTGATAGGTTTCAAGCAATGAGTGGACTCACTTACCGCTTTTTCCAAACATTTTTCGTGTTTTTTTAAGTCTGAAAGGTAAATATGATAGAAATTAAAAAAAGTCGTTAAACATGTTTTTCTTTACATATTGTATGTAATTAAGAACTATTAAAGTAGTTTTATTTTCTTAAAAGGAAAAAAATGCGTAGCATTACCGTGCTTAATCGGTTTTATGAACCATTGTCTTTTAAATCAAAAGCAATTTGTATTGATTTGATTTCAAAAATATTCTTTTTGTCAATCTTTCATTTGATATAAAATGAAAAAGTATTTTTTACTGAAATTAGTTAAATAAAAATAATTTCTATATTTTTTCCTCATATTTAAACTGGCATACAAGCTGGATGAAACTGGAATACAAGCTGATTCTTTGAAAATAAAAAACATATTCAAGATTTTCCAGCTCCAGAAAACAAAGAAGCCTTATACAGAGATGCCAACTGCCCCGGACATGCAAAAATAATTAAAATAACGGTAAATAACTACATGCTAAAGTTTGCTAATATTTGACTATTTTTTTGCTTTTTAAAAGGTTTAGCATTAGAGTACTGCACTAAAGTGGTGAATTATATAAATCCATGAATTATTTAGAAATAGTGGTGGATAAAAATCTACTAAATTGAATTTATTAAACCAAGAACCACAATTGATAAACTACCACTTTAAAATATTTATTTGTTGTCCGGAGCAAGTTGGCATCTTTGCTTATAGCTACTCTCAAGAATGGTGACTTATCATGCAAATTCATTTATTGTCACTTATCTGACTTAACTCGTACTCTTAGACAATTTCTGGAAAAAAAGTAATTCTTTCTTATAGGATTCGAACATGCAGCAAGATTTTGAAAAAAAATTAAGTGTGCTCTAATGAAAGCTCCTTGTAACAGCTTCTTTGACTCAACAAAACCTATTATCCTGTCAGTAGATGATAGTCAAGAAGGATTAGGTCCTGTATCAACCGAAGAAAACAAACCTGCTGCATATGCTTCTTCTACACTGTTTTGTACAGAATCAAGTCATGCTCAAATAGAAAAAGAGCTTCTAGCTATCATGTTTGGATTAGAAAAGTTCACTTATTTTACTTATGGCAGACATGTCAATGTACAAATTAATCCCAAACTCCTTCTTGGATTCAGTAAAAAATTATAAGACGAAATACCACCACGACTTCACCGAATACTTCTGCGCATGAACAGTGCGTATGCGCATACAGTCGTCACTCTGCAATATACCCCTGGTAATCAGCTCAGAGGAGCTGATACTTTGTCACGAGCTACATCTTCAGATATTTTTAAAGACAATCTGGGCGATTGAACACTACCTACTTCAGAGATAGTGCTAGCCATTGCAACTGGATTCAAATGGAATGAGCTTTCTTTTGCTACTGAAACAGATAAAGCATTGCATGAACTTAGCAAGCTTGCTAACAATGATTGGCCTACTGAAAAGTGGAGAGTGAACCTAGTAGCAAGACCATTTTGGCATTGTTGACATGAGATAATTGAAACAGAAAATGTTGTTGAAGTCTCTCAATCAATCCAGAATCTGACAAATTGATGTTTTAAAAAAATTAGACACTGGTCACGGAAGTATTGTTGCATACAAAACCAAAGCCCGTGACCTACAATGAACACAGACATAGAAATTTTTGTAGAATGATGTTTAATATATCAGAAGTATCTGAGAGCAAATGATCAAGAACCTTTGTCACAGAGGAGTTTACCTCTGGTGAAAAGTAGGTGCTGATTTTTTAACCCTTATAAAAACAACGTACTTGTAAATAATTGATTGCTTCTCAAAATAGATTGCAGTACAGCCCATGAACAGAACAATCACTGCATGCATGCAAGAGCAGCTTGTGACTGATGGCGACCCTCAGTTAATTTTTTTTAAAGTTCAGAGCTAGAAGTTACTTTTTAGAAGTTCAGAGTTAGTTTTTTAAAGTTAAAGTCAGAAAGTTTTTAATTAATGGAAATTAATAAAAAATCTTCTTGCATAGTTAGAATATTTTCCACAGTAACTCTTCACCATATTAGTCCTGATCTAATAGTCAAGTTGAACGAGCGGTTCAAACCTTCAAAAATTCAATGAAGAAATCACTTGAGAAGGATAAAGACCTGCTGCGCCTTATTGAGCTATAGAATTACACCAATACTAAGTCTAAAATCACTAACAGGAACAGAATTCTTAATGGGGTGGCGACTGTGATTCTTTATTCCATCTCTGCCGCAAAATTTTCAGTCCAACTTTGACATCAAAGAAGAGAAAGCACAACTGTTAAAAAGACAACAAGATCACAAAGAATATGCCGACGGTGGAAGCGAACCTTTACCTGAACTGAAGTTGGATCAACAGGTTTGGTTCAAATTAAAACCAAAAGAGCCATGGATTACAGGGAAAAAATAAAGATCCATTTAGAACATATATTATCCAATCGAAAAAGGGAGAAGTTTATGTAAGAAACAGTACAGTATATTTATACCCCTATTCATAAGTGATACAGGAACTCAGTTAGAAAGAACTGTGGAAGATCTTTATGATGCTGCTCCTGAAATTTTTCCCGTACCAATCTCTTGTACAAGCCGAGCTACCAACTTTCGAACAAAGGCGCAGTCATAGTATTATAAATAAACCTTTGCTTTATCGGACTTTATTCTCCCCTTTCATTTAAAAAACTAAAAAGGAATAATATGGTAAACTTTACAGTCCAATTGACAATTTTGTAAATTTAATTTCAATTTTTGATTTAACCTAAGCTTAAATTGTGTGTAACTTTCTTTAACTTTTAATTTTTTTTTAAAAAGGAGGACATGTTATGTATTGTAAGTCAAAAATTGACAGCTATAACTATAAATCCATCAATTAATATACTTCATGTACTTTTACTTCAACTTAAAGATAATATATAAAGTAAAAATTTGCTACAACTTTTAGCTTCTGGTGCTGTAACTTTAATCTTTAGCTTCATGTAAACAAATAGATCAAATCAAATAAGCTTTAACACTCATATTACCTTCATTAATCCTTGTATTTTATGACATCCAGCATCACAAAAGAATCTTGTTAAGATTCATTATTTCTAATTTTTGCTTGAATGCAACTTTATCATGAGAACTTCTGAAACGGAGCTTTCAGATAATTTCCTTAACTTTTCACTATAGATATTTTGAATTAAAGTTAAGAAACTAGTATTATTATACTCGTTGTTTGCTTTCATTAATTATTGAAACGTAAGACTTCCAAAGTACCATACAAGGAAGAATCGTGAAGCGACAAGTCAATAAGGGCGACTAAGCTGACAGCTAAAGGTGCCTAGTAGCCCAAAATTTAAAACAAATAAATTTTATTACTTAAAGGGACGTAGAATTATACAGCAAAATTTAGAAGTATTAATTATACTTTTAAATCTGGGATGTAATATCTCTTCGAATATTATGTTGAACAACAGCAAAAATTTTGCAAAGAAACACTATATTTCAATTTAACACAGTTGATCTTTCATATACAATTTAAAAGGCTTAATTTAAATCTAAACTCCATAAGGGGAAAAAAGATTGCACTTCTCTTAAGAACATTCACACTATGCTTGAATTATTTTCGCCTTCGAAAACAAATTTACAATCCTAACCAGTTGACGAAAGTTTTTGCTGTTTCCTTTCATATTGTTATATAATGTCTATTGAAGCGAAAGTTTGCTGTTAAAATATGTATACAGGTTTTAAGTTTTATAATAAGGATCATTATATTTCAATGCTTAAATCCCAGTAAACTGTATTCAACTATTTTACAATGCCTAATTTCTATTATTGTTCGCTCCGATTTTGTTAAGTCTACTTCAAATTTGTCTTATTATTCCCTCCCTGCTACTCCTACGTTTGATTAACTAGCTAATTTTATTTCAAGAGTTAGAGTGCATATGGACCTTGAATTGATGATTCTTTATATAACATATTATAAAAATAACTTTACTTACATAAACTTTAACAGATATAAACAAAAATACTTTTACTTTACAATTACAGTAAGTTAAGATGCAAAATAACTTATGTGTATCTTAATTTACTTTAATTATAAATTTCAGTACAAATGAATACCAAGAATGGATCAGCTACTTCTGAATACGAAAAATACGAATGAGTACGAAAAATTGTGGCCTTGTAAAAAAACCGTCTTCCATTGTAATGAAGAATCTAGAGTTATCTATTGTGCTTCACATCACTTGTGCAAAGCTATTGCCACTATTTTTGTTCTTAAGATACACATTTTTTTACTATGTAGAAATAACTAATGGATGTTTTGACCAATCAAATAGCAAAATAATATATATTTTGAAGAAGTAATATCGTAGATGCTATTAAAGTTTATAATATATATAGTTATGTTATTACCTTTGTTTAGCTTTGATCCTTCTGTGCACACGTCCGTTATGGCTGACAATAGTTTTTCACTTTCTTTTTGAAATCCCATGCGACAATCAGTGGCTGCTGTTTTGATGCACTTTATAATTTTAGGTTTAGTGCTTTAAAGTAAGCATTAAGAATTAAAAGCAATGTTTCAAAGCAAATAATTTTCAAACAAATAAACAAATACTAGATAGGATATATATATGCCCGAAAGTAATCTACGGGTTCTTAAAATCAAAGTACAACAGTTGAAAATAGAATTTATTGTCCAACCTTTTAGTAAGGCTTCAATCATATTTCATCTGTGGAAATTTAATGAAGGACTTTTTTCATTGATGAAAGATATCAACAACCGTCTATTTACCATGAGAAAACATTAAAGATTTCATTCGCGTTCGAACCGTCTTCCTCCTTCGTACCGAAATAATTCTCGTTCTTACCGAAATCTTTCATCTTTCCTCATCAAAGTGCTGCCAACATATTTTTATCTTACCCAATTAAAAAAAAAACTTTTATGGCCAAAAAATATTAATGTCAAATGTATTTCTCCAATTTTATATGCCGTTTGTTTCATCTTAATTTTTAAAATTACATTTAATTTTTAAAAAAAGAGCAATTCTACTACAAATTAAGAAATTGGTGCTAACAATCTAAAATCCTTAGAGACGTTTGGAAACATCTTGTTTGTCTTACAGTTCAAAACTGATGTAAATTTTAAATAGATTTGTCTATTTTAGTAATCACCGAAATTAAAAAAAAAATTAACTTTTTATAACTTTTTAAAATGTAACTTTTTTTTATAAATTGTAAAATTACAACAAAAAAAATCTACATTTACACATTTGAGCAGTTAAATCGGAAAATTTGAAAATATTTCCTGTAGCTAATTAATAAATTGTAATCACAATGATGTTACTTTCATTTAACCCAAAAATTTCCAATTAAAGTTCTTGAATTAATACAGGATATTTTGCTAGTTGTATTTCTATAGATTTTAATCAGATAATCGCATTTTTATCGTATTAACTGTATCGTACATTATTAATCGTATTTGAAAGGTTTATAATAGATAAATTTATGAAATTTTAAATATGAATTATTAAATTATCCCCAATAATAAGATACTTTTTTTTCTAGGTATGAAATTACCTGCAATAATCATACAAATCAGCTTCCAGTAATTCTTCCCAGGCCTTACTTTCACATTTATCTTTCTTCTCTAAGAAACACTGAGAATTGCAAGAGGCCAGACTAAAAAGAACTAAAATTTGAAAAAAAAAAAGAAGAAGTTTTTTAACAGATATTATTACATAATTATGTTAATAATGCTGTTAATAATTATGTTATAATAATTAACAGCAGAATATCAGTTCCTTCTACATGATTAAAAAATAAACTAAAGAATTAGTAAATCAATATTAACCAACACTACACAAAGCGGAAATCCATGTCCCCACAAAATTAAATCAATTAAAATAAATTTTTTACTTTTTTTTGTGGCTTTCTCTGGTGATTTTATTAAATAAAGAAATAATTATTTTCAAAAGTTCAACTCAAAAATAAAGAATAATTATGCTCAGCAATATTCGGCAGCAAACATTATGCTATTAGGTATGAGATAACGGTCAACAATTGATAGTCCTGATTTACGACAATCAAAGAATTTCCCTGATGTAACTTACACTTTCGTAAAGAACTTAAAATCTTTTATTTCAATTAACTTTGATTGCACGCTGTTAAAATTACCATTGATTGAACAATATTAAAGCTTTCGGAAACATATTTCCAAAGTGTAATTGTAAAGGAAATAACCACGTGATTTTGGGTAGGTTTCAAACTGCGTATTAGGTGACGTCACCTAACCTCATTTCGCCTGAGCTTACCTAGAAAACTAAAACTAAACTCAGCAGCGCGACAGCCCATAGGCCTACTGCGCCCATCTCAGTTTCCTTAACCTTTGGGCTCTGGGGTGCAGGAGCCTAGCAAACTCAATTAAAAATAAAGGAATAAAGAAGAGCGTGCTATTATCTATGTTTCTAGATTAAACAGAGTTGTAAGCTAGCAAGAACCACCAATATTAGCTGTAAAATAATTGAAAGTACAACATCCTCAGTTTAATTCATTACAATGCTTGAAATTAAAATTATGAATTTTTTTAAACATCTCTCAAGATCGGACTAGCTGAAATTTTTTAGAAATTTTTAAGATCAGAAGCATTCGCCTTTAATCATCTATCCAAATTTCAGGACACCAGTACAAACGGTTTTTAGAAAAATAAGAGCGGCGAACAGACAATCTATTTCTTTTATTATTATAATTTCATTTCCTAATCAGTAATAAAAAAGCCAACTTTAGTTTACTCTTTTTTGTCTAATATATACAAGTAGAAAAGCTTTGCATTGCAAAATTATTGTTGGAACCGTTAAATAATATTATGAAATTTTTAAAATGAAATGGTGGCAATATACAATAACATTATTAATTATTAATGGTTTGAGTTAATATTATGGAGGTTTTCTTTCAACTGCATACATGAAGTACTTATATATATATATATAACTTTACTTACATAANTATTTCGAATATACAGCAAATATATATGGTGCATCTATAACATTATTTACAATTTCTTTCTTGCAAGCGTAAAGAACACTTCCTATTAAATGTCGTATAAAAAATATTCGCTGCAAATTGATATCGACTTGTTAAATTTACCAATAATGAGATAAAAATCAGGCAGATAAAGGCAAGAAATGTAACGATAATTACAGGTTGTTTTCAAAAGTATTTTATGTATGCAGCAAGAAATGTAACGATAATTACAGATTGTTTTTAAAAGTATTTTATGTATGCAGCGAGAAATGTAACAATAATTCCAGATTGTTTTTAAAAGTATTTTATGTATGCAGCAAGAAATGTAACGATAATTCCAGATTGTTTTTAAAAGTACTTCATGTATGCAGTAAGAAATGTAACGATAATTCCAGATTGCTTTTAAAAGTATTTTATGTATGCAGCAAGAAATGTGACGATAATTCCAGATTGTTTTTAAAAGTAAGAAATGTAACGATAATTCCAGATTGCTTTTAAAAGTATTTTATGTATGCAGCAAGAAATGTAACGATAATTCCAGATTGCTTTTAAAAGTATTTTATGCATGCAGCAAGAAATGTAACGATAATTCCAGATTGTTTTTAAAAGTAAGAAATGTAATGATAATTCCAGATTGATTTTAAAAGTACTTCATGTATGCAGTAAGAAATGTAACGATAATTCCAGATTGCTTTTAAAAGTATTTTATGTATGCAGCAAGAAATGTAACGATAATTCCAGATTGTTTTCAAAATTATCTTTCTTCTTGAATTGCTGCCTGTCTTCAATTTCCATGAATTGGCTTGGATATCATTAAAAAATAAATAGTTAAATGTGTTTGGATAAAGTTTGAATTTGTCGGGAAGTTAAGTTAGAGCTACAATAAAATATGTGTGCTGGTGATTAGTGTGAGAAGTTTGTTGATTTTATTCGAGTCAATGGGAGATAAATTGATATTGTATAATAGATTTTATCGTTAAATTTGAGTTATGGTAAAATAAAATTGTTTTTCATTCAGATGTTTGCACCATAATAAACTTCAAAAAGTAGAATGCTACTTTTAGTGAATGAAAAAGAACGTGCAACAGAAGAGGATGAATTATGAACAGCTTGCAACCCCCACTTGGAAATTATAAAAGAAATTCGTAGCTTTGACACTGTGAAAACTTCACCAAGAAGAAAAAAAATCCATGCTTTGGCTAGTAACTGCACCAATTACTGCGAAGTCCCTTTTTTTAGCATTAAAAGTTAAAAATTTACTAGCAGTTTAATCAAAACGTCTATTTTATAAAATCAAAATATTTCAGCAACCATTTAATGATTCACAATTTTAATGCAAGCTAGCAGTAGAAAGTCGAGAACTAAAGGGAATTTTAATTTGCATGCTTGGTCACTGAAAATTTTATCAGCAATTTTGTTTGTTAAGAAGAGAAGAGAATGAAGAAATAGTTAGTTTTTAATTTTTTTTAATTTAGGGAAACTTGTTGTGCTTATTTTTTCATGGCGATGTGCATTTTAAACTAAGAAGGCTTTGATATATATTGATTCAGACACCCCTCTTTGAGCTTTTTTTAATGATAAATCATTGTAAGGTAAAATAATGGCAAAAGTTTTTTCCGAACTTAATTTGTAAGAAATGTAGAGAAAATAATTTTACTTGACAAAGGGAATGAGTATTCATTTATTAGAACCATTGAATTCAGAAGTACATTAGTTAATTTTTCTGTTTGAATTAGAAGAACATTAATCTATACAACATTTTTTAAATAAAATTCAACTATTTACAGTTAAGATTCAATACTCAATGTGCATTTGAATACAGAAGAAATTAACTCTTTTATATAGTGATGCTATTGTCAAAGTTATTTAAGATAAAAGAAAAAAACATTTTTTAAATTATATTCATAGCAATAAAAAAACTGCATTGATATTTAATAAACTGAAATTATTTTGATAACTTACCGGAAAGCAAAACAAGTTTTTCCATATTGAATAAAACTAATTATGAGAAGAAAAATACCTGGAATTAATTTCAATTTGTTTTGTAAAATGAAAAGCAATTGCTCCTTACTTTGAATTAGTTTTTGAATTCTAATCAATCCTCAGATAAGAAAAGGAATTTTCTTTCTGTGAACAGCTGTGGCTAATTCTTTTATCTAATGTTTCCTTCAATAATTTTTTTAGCGAAACCCATTTTATATTACTTATTATCAAAAAACACCAAAAACGAAAATGAAGTACTCAAGGTTTATAATCAAATATAAGGTTCAAAATCAATAACAATCAAAATATATTTACAATTATGCATAAATTATCTAAAAGTATTATCTTACAGTAATCTCTGCTTTCTTTGCTTAGCTTAACTAATGTCAATATTTAGATATTGCTGGTTTAATTATTAATTATAAGTTTATCATAAATTAGCGCAATATATCTAAGATTTAATACAAATAAAAATGTAATTTTCTTATAAAATAGACTTGAAAGTTCAACTGGATTCTAAATTTTTAATGTATCTTGACTTCATGACCCTGAAATACAATGTGTTTATATTAATAAGCTAAAAACATAATTATTTGTAAATATTAAATTACATTGATAATATCCGTTTATTTGCTTGTAAAGTGATAGTGGCTTTTTATGAATTAAACAACTTAAATAAATTGATCATTGAAAATTTGAATAAATTGATTATTAAATATTTACATCAAAATAATGTTCTAATAATATTCGTAGGACTTACTTTAGTCATGGGAGGGGAAAAGGGGACAGCTGATAGTTTTTCTTTTTTTTCCTGTTTTTTTTTCTTCTTTTTTCTTTTTGTTGTTGTTTTTTTTCCTTTTTTTTCCTGTTTTTTTTCCTTTTTTTTCTTTGTAACTACTATGACAATCAGTAAAATTCAACTCGAATAAGGAGGTACACTGAGAACAAAATTGGATTTTTGTCAATTCAGCTGTTTTAAGCAGTCTGTTATGAGAATCTGAAGAAAGCAATTGGTGAATATAAGTTTACTTATCTGATTTTGTATCTTAAATATCTTCTGTGCGTAATTAGTTGGAATACTTGAAATCACCCTCTCCCCCCCGAACCATTAAGATTTAGTTTGAGCTCGTGAAAATCCGATCATTAAATCAAAAGCTATTCAGGGTGATTCGTCTTTTTTTATTATTTTTTTAGCGCATGGCACATCTTGTTTTATATTTCGAATATACAGCAACTTTATTGAAGAAGGACATAGCTTTTTTTAATTAAATAATAATCTTAAGCAAATAGCTGAACAAATGAAATTGTAATATGGAAGAAAGAAGAAAAAAAAATATTTTTACTCCTTTTAGAATCTCTATACGTCTTTTTACCTATGTTAAAAATTCATAGCTGTTCTTAAAGATTTTTTAATTGGCTTAGTTTAATCATTATAATTAAATTATAATTAAATTTAAATGAAATTAGCTTTTGACCTTTGAATTGAAATTAATCAAATTAATCTGGACGCTTCAAGACATTTCTTTACAAATGAATATTTAAAGAAGCATATATTATTTCTGAATTACTTCACATTTAAACTTACACTTTTTGTTTAAACGTAAGGTTTCAAAAATTTAAAAAACTAACAAAATGTGTTACTGTTTATGACATATGATATAATAGAATATATATTGAATATATATAATGGAATATATATATTTGTCAATTTTATACGACATCACAATTTGAAATTGATTTTGCCTAATTTAATAAACGCAATATTATTTTCTTGGAAACTTTTATTTTTTTCACCACTGTTTTTTAAAGGATGCATAGTACATTAGCTTTCAATTAAGCTTTAGACGAGCTTTAAAAAAATTTATGTTTTGCGTTTTTTGACAGTTGAAATTCGAATTCGTACTTTCAGAAAAAAAGTATGATCAAAACTTCCAAAATACGGAAAAAATTGACCATGTTTCTGGCTCTATGAGAATATCAAATAGCACGATAATTTTTACCGAAACGCTTTGGTAAAGATGGCGGTGAAATTAACCATAAAATATGGTGTTTAATAATCGATAAAATGCAATAAATGCAAATAAATAAAATTACCACGCGAATCCTACAATGATAACTTACAGCATGGCATAAAAACCATTTATTCGGCAAAATTTTTCCTTTTAATTTATTTTTCACTGTGCGTGTGGTAATAGGAACTATAATTTTGGAAACCAGAATTTTACTGAACTGAAAATTATTTGTATTGAAAATTATTTTCTTTGTGTAGCATTTCAATAATTCTAAAATAACTGTTTTGAAACGATGCAAAATGTTATACGTGAAACAATTTATTATATTACATTTTTCATTTTAAAAATAACAAGTACTTAAAGTAATCAATTGCTGTTTAAATGCCAAGGTTTATAATAAAATAAATACTTAACTTAATATTAACTTAAAATAAAACTTAAAATTAAATAGAATCTCTTTTTTTCACTTCATTTTTTAAATAATTTTTTTTTAAATTTGTAGAAGAATGAAATAGAATCTTAATTTATATATTTAAATACTTCAATATCTGGCGATAAAAATACTTATATTATTTTTATTCTCCTCAGCTTAAATACTCCCATTCGATTTTCTTTCATTTTGTACTAATGCACTCAGAGACACGAAGTTTTATTTGTATACGTTTTGAGAACTTGAAACGCTAATGGATTTTTCCTCTTAATACAAAACACAGTTTAACTCAGTTTTCTTTTCAGTTTATTGTACTTGTGATACGGTATAAAATAATATCGATCTATCAAATGGTTATTTTTACTTTAGACGTTGCAGTTTAAAACCATTTTGACTCGCATTATTCATTCTTAATCTTATCAGAAATTCTATGGTCAAATCCGACGGAAACTGTTTGACATTCGCAATAAAAAAAGCAATAAATATCTCGCAAAAGACACAGATTTTAACGCATACTTGCCCTTGGTCTATAGCTTTCTTTAGCTCATTTCAATGATATAATTAATTTTCGGTTCATTCGATAAAACACAACTCCCATGCCTATTACTAAACTAAATACCTAGTTTCAAAGCCCAGTTAAATTTATCTTTTACTCTTTTGAAACCATGGCAATTAGAACACAGTATAGTTTTCTATTCATGGTTTTCTTAACCATAATTGTAAATGGTTTCAAAACCGAAAAGGTAAAATATGTTCGTAAATACAAGAAACATATGACAAATATGCGTGTTTGATAAGTGTGGACTATTTCTACAAATTACAAATAGTCTGGTACTTCTGATGCATCCTTCCATCCAATTAACCGTAAAGTTAAAGATAAAGAATATTTCTTACCTCTACAGTTTCGAAATTGTTTATAACTAGCTATGTATGGTTAAGTAAGCATGAATACGAAACTATTCGGTTTCCTAACCATTTACAACTAGCATGGATCAAAACCATAAACAAGAGATTTAATTGGACGTTGCAGATAGTTTAGCAAATTTATAGTGTTGCCATCTACGCGTTAAGAAGTTATCCATGCCATACTATGTCAGCTATATACCATACTATGCCATCTATATACCATACTATGCCATCTATATACCATATTATGCCATCTATGCGTGAGTACCGTATTCTAACACCACAGGGTCACACATTGGAGAGTACAGGACATCGATTAAATGGCTTCATTATGCGGCTCTTCATAAAGGATTTTCTCACAGTTAACAGTTTGAATACCATCTTATTATTTGGTTATTCGACTGCTTAGTTTAAGTGTGGTAATTAACAATTAAATAAATTGTTATTTAACCATTTTTCAGAGAAATTTCTAGAAGTGCGTATTATGATCTGACGTGATGAGTTTGTTATGACTTACCCCATTTTTATTAATCAATTGTAAAACTATATTATATCTTAGATATAAAGAGTGATACCATTGATGAAATTTTGTTTCTTTGAAATTACGTTTCAAGAAAGATTAATATGTTCTTAAATTATTTGAATACTTCCTAAAAATTTGCCTTTTTTTAAATCTTTTAATTAAACAATTTTCACAATGCTTTAAATTCAAAAGTTTTCCAAAACATCGAAAAACCGTTTTCAAGACATTTAAGGTAGGTAGGCATGTACTTTATTTACAACACACTAGAGCTACACAATGATCTATTGGCGACGGTCTGGGAAGTATCCCTGAGGAGATACGAAGGCATCTTTTGATCCTCTGCAGAGAGGATAGCTCCCCCGCTTTGGTAACCCGACGACTTTTACTCAAAATCGAGCACTTAACGGTATAACAGATTATAATGAAAGGATACTGAGTATCCTTGATCCCTACACAGGATGATCATAGTCACCACCCAACCGCTACTTGATCACAACCAGTGTAGTTTAACTTCAGTGTTCTACTGGGAATTTTTTTTATTATCAGTTCACTGCTGGGACTAGACATTTCAAATGCTTATGAAATAAATCGATTATTTTTACCTCTATTTATCAGAATATATTCTTCACATTTATTTAAATAGCTATATAACGTGAAGAAATAAAACTGATCAAATTATTATAAATAAAAAAAATCCCATGTGTCTAAATATTTCATACATTCAATGGGTCAAAAAGTGTAATAAAACATCTAAAATATTTTTACATATCTACATGCCCTTATTATAACCGAATTGGAAATTTATTGCTTTTGCAAAATGTCTCTTTGAAATTGCAGTTTTTCAAAGGTTTAAATTTGAGTGGAACGTTTAGAGAAAAATAGACGCTTAAAATTGATAAAAAAAATTAAAAAATACCAATGAAAATCTAGCCGAAATATCAGCAAAACGCGTCGTAATATCGAAACGTCATAATGTTGAAATATCAGCAATATCAATAGTTTACGTTATTTTCGAATAGTTAAACAAAACCATTTCTATGTATAAGACCATTTCCAATAGCAGAACATATTTTGATTCAAACTAGAGTAAATGGCTTTCTTATTATAGGTATCCACATTTAAATTTATGCTAACCAATGCACAAATTTAATGATTGCTCGTAGACGCAA